GTGTAAGTATAATGCTATAATATGTGAAGAGGGTAACTATACTAGATCCTCTACGAAGACATTTTGAATAATTTCCTACAAAATTCTACAGAATCAAAGACGTAGGTATTTTGCAAATAACGTTATGATTCCCTCTTTCTCTCTCTCTCTCTCTCTGATAAGATTCGCAAAAAGGAATAAATTTAGAAATAACAATTGAACAAAGTTCAAATAATTTTAATAATACATCTCAAAACAAGGTTTATAGCAAAATGGTATTGAATAAGGATTATTAAAAAGAAGCGCGTGAGATTGAGGTTAAAAAGACAGTATACAGATGAACTGAAAATGAGTGCCAAAAAGTAACGTCATAACGACTTCAGTAACATTCTTGCCGTGTGGCGAAAGACAAAATCTATCGCTATCTTAATATCTTAAAAAGTATTTTATGTCATCGAATGAAATTTAAAGGCAAAAATGATAGGGGTATTTGTAAGTGAAATTTTGTTGATAACATTAAATTGTTACAGATTTTGTAGCAGTTTTGACATTACTTTTGGATCAACCCTCGTATATATATATATATATATATATATATATATATATATATATATATATATATATATATATATATATATATATATATATATATATATATATATATACAGAGAGAGTATTTTATAGCTTAAATAAATAAATAAAAAAGGAAAGAGGTAGAGCGCACTTAGCATACTAAATGGCCTACAATATATCGCATTTACAAATATCCACAATATCCTGGCTATAAAAATAGTTGGTATAAATATGATCCAGGTTGTCAAAACAGGTTTCCTTTTTTATTATTATTAGGGCCCCGCAGGGATTTGCGGGTGCCCTATAGTAATCACTCTGTCTGTCTGTCCGTCTGTCATTCTTCCGTCCACAAATTTTCTGTTTTTTTCTAATAACTTTTTTTAGGGTTGACGAATTAAGTTCAAATTTGGTATGTTGGTTGAATAGGCAGTAAGACATATTTTGATGCTGAGTTTGGTTCTCTATTTCATCCGGTTTGGAGCTGGGGTGGTTGGGTATATTCCTTAACTTTATATAAGAGTGAATGGGCAAAGAGAGATAACTGCTGAGAATGTTCCTATTGTAAACTATGAAAGGCTGCAATGAGTCTCTTGGGATTAATTAACTTTCCTCTTGAAGAAAATCCAAAGTATTTATCTTTATCTGCCACATTGAGATTAATTAACACCTCTGTCTGCAAATGAAGTTTGTTTTGAAGTTAAGGTCAATTCTGAATGATGTTTACATTCTCTGAAATGTGGATTTAAATAATGTTCATACTTTATTTTGTTAAAATACACAATGAGTTATGATTTTATTGAATTCTAAAAACAAGATATAGATAAAGATATCGTTTTTATTATTATTATATCATTGCTGAAAAAGTTCTTATTGTAAACTTAGAAGAAAAGGTTGAGAGAGCAGTATAATTTTAATCCCGTGGGTTTGATTATCTTGCTGGTTTGCAGAATATTTTAGAGGGTTATCTTTCTGTCACTTTAAGATTAATTAACACCTTTGTCTGCAACTGATATTTGTTTTGAAGTTAAGGTCAAGCCTGGGTGATATTTGCATTCACTGAAGGCTGGAATTTTAGAAAATACATGCTTCATTCATTTTTAAATATATATTTAATTGAGTTATTATAAATATGATGTTTTTTACTGCCTTAAAAATTATGTAAATACAAGGATACTATTTACAGATTGTTGGATATTTAGCAGTTGCTGTTGCTTATTCTTTATATATTTTGAAATTTTTTGGAATCAAGTAAAATTCTCATCCCCTAATCTGCACCCTTATATTTCTACCCCTCGGCGGGGCACTTGCTGACTGGTCAGATTTCTAGTTATTTTTTTATTATTATTTTAATTTTCTATTATAATTGTTGATTTTTTTTTTAATTTTGGCCCTAGGGCAGGGGGTGCCCCTAAATTACTAGTATTCCTTACATTACAACCTATCAAAATAAAATTTTATTTAGGGGCAGGCCTGCCCTGAAGGACTTCTAGGCCAAAATTCATGCAAAAATCGGTGCAGAACCAACTGTTTTGGCCAACTCTGAAGGTTAATTTTTAAAGTTGCAAATAATAAATTTTAGGTTCAAAATACAAACTGGAAAAATTTAGACATATGAAGATAGAAAACAACTAATTTACATTAATTTTAGATTTGACTTTTTCTGGGAAATTGTTCTCTCCTTTAGGTCAATACCTTTGAAATGTTGAATACATCCTTTTGTAGAGGACAGTACCATCAGATCAAAAGTCAGCATACATTACCAGGGGTTTTGAATAAACATCATATGAAGAAATCCCTTGTGTTATTCACAGAAAAATATAGAAAAATTACTCAACATATAGTTTAGTCAGTATTTCCTTTTTTTTAGAGGTATACAGCATCAATTATAAAAGGAAAAAGAAAATAAAGTTTCAGAACTACCTTGTGCATGTCCTTGTCAATAAATAAAATTAATATCTTGTACCAATTTTACCAATAACAGCGGTATTGAACATTTAATCGTTGTCTATTAACGACGCGTAATCCGATTTTAGATTTTTATTGTAGCACCGGTGCATATTGTTGGATATTAAAATCAATGTGTTTGTTTAGTTACCATAGAAATATGTACATTTGAAGCCAGCAAATCTGTAATTATTTTGTCATTAAAAATTGAAATGCAGCAATTAAAATAACCTGATCGATCAGTTACAGGATATTCACATTATCATTTAGTTCTTTCGTAGTTAGGGAGATTATGTTAACCAATAATTCTTGTTATTTTAATGTTGTTACTTCTTGTTCAGGCACGTAGTACCCAACCCCCACCCCCACTTTTTTCCAAACATATCCTTTTACAGTTGGAAATATTCATTGAAAGGCCTCTGGTTGCAGTGTAGTCAAATGCTAAATCATCCCTTGGTAGTGTATTAATACATTGGGGGGGGGGGATCTAACACACAACCCCCCTCCCTTTCACACACACACACACGAAATAGGATTTTCGAATTTGGACATTTTTTTTTAATTTTTCAATTAAGTTGTAAAACATTTTTTTCTGCCTGCACCTTTCAAAAATGATACTACGTGCCTGTTGTTCTATATATACTGATCATATGAATTTTGAAAAACTATAAGGAATGGTGGAACGAACTGGCAGACCGTATCCCCTAAACATTCCAGAACAATATCCCCAGTTAACATGTGATTTAAAAATAAAATAAAATCAGCTGTAGAGACATTTAAAATGTCCACGAATGTTCATAAAATCTAAATAGGATATTAATATTAAAGATTATCTCTTGGTTTACATAGACCGAGTAAGATGATTTAGGTCTACTTACACTAGAAATCTACGTCATGTTTACGGATCTTTACATAAGAAAGAGCTAGTACCCCTAACTACATATTGCTGAAATAAGTATCCCTAAAAATTTTAATCTACGTATGTCATACCTGCGGGATTTGTTAAAAAAAAAACAACGAAAATTCTTGCCTTCAAAGTAAGTTATATAAATTGCCCATTGACCTATATACCTATAAGTATTTTTTTTTCTGTACATCATGATTTGTTTACTAACTAATACGCATGTATTAGATACATATACACCAACCTAAATAGAACATTAATGAATATTGGCACATATAATTATCACAATGAAAACAAAGCGACCTTAATTTATTTTCATTTAAATAAAAACATCGGAAATAGAATTTTTCATATATATGATATTTTGCGAGTTTATTAAATATTTTTCAAACTTTCGTAAACTTATCATCAATCAGATCACGCCAACCTCCGTCGCATGCTGGTATATCTTTATTTATTGCGAAAGGGATTTTCTACAAGTCACGTGAAAAATCGTTTTAACTACGTCATATAAAATAGGGGATTTCCATCGATGTGTCAGTGTGTGCGAAATCACGAAGAAAGTAAGTTGTTTATTTTTTTAGAGCTCTTCATAAATTAAATAATGACAATAGATAAAGGTTGTATAATTAGTATGCACAGTACGTATTATAAAATGGGAGGTATAGATACAAATATACCGATTAATTGGTTAATTGGTTAATTGGTTTAGATCAGTATATGCAAGATTGCATTTCACTAAGACGTCAATGAGAAGATTTTTTTTTTTTTTGCTTGAATGATGTTAACTAAATTCTGTTTAGGTATGTTATAACTCATAAATGTGTGTGATTTAAAGTTTTGCGAAATTTACAGTTTTAATCACCTTAATGCACGAAAAATATTTTTTTAATAAAAAGATCATTCATCAGTATCAATAGGCCAACTTGAATGATTATTATATATACACGTCCTGTCATGTTCTATACCATGTATAATTAATATACAGGTCCTGGCTTATTGGAAGATTAATTAGCAATATGAATATGTGAAGGATTGGACAAAGCGATATTCTACCAATGCAAGATGAATATACCAAAAATGCATCTATATAGAATTGATAGTATCGATTCCATGAAAGTCAAAACTATAAACATACTCGCTTAACCAGGAAATTTAAGATACCGGTCTATATTTTCCGCAAAGATGCATTTGATTTGTATTGAGCATACTAAATGCTTGTTAAACAGATCTAATTGATTTTTTTGTTAGTCCCTGAACCCATACCCGGATATTGTGAATAGGACGTGCGTTTGCCGATTAAGAGATATAAATATAGCTCTTAGACATTGATTTTTCGTTTACCTTGTGAACTTCAGTGGTCTCTAGAACTAAGTGTTAGACTAATATCTAAGGTATATTACTTTTGAATAGCTTTGAAATAGATTTTGTACTAAATATGCATGGTAAAGGTTAAATTGTATTCGCTTACAATCTCTTTCCGGTTTATGAAGGACTACATTAAATTCTGAGATGCTTATTTTTGAGCCAGTCTTTTCATATCTTGTCTTGCCTTGCTATTATCATTTTTTTTTCTCTCTCTCTTATATTGCAGCCATAGAGAGTCTGGGGATTAGTACTGCTGTGTGAGATTAAAAACCAAGAATGAGCACAAAGAGGAAACAAGTGGATAGTATAAAACAACAAGCTATTAATATTTTGTCGATGATGCGGAAACAGGATAATAAATTAGAAGACAAAATGAAAAAGTTTGTGAAAAAAGATAAAGCTATCGCTAGAAGAACTTTTGAGACGGATGTAGAAGGATGGACACCTGTACACGCATGCGTAATGAAAGGCAGCAAACATTTACTGAAAGTCATGATCGGTACTGGAATTCCTGTGAATTTTCGAATGGGACAACCCGAGGGACTTCCCGGGGAGTGTTCTTTACTCCACATAGCAGCATACAGGGGAGATGTCAAAATCTGTAAATATCTAATATCCCATGGTGCCTGTGTTGATGCCCGGGACAATTATAACAGAGCTCCCATGTATTATGCACAAACAAAGCAACATAATCGGGTTATCGAGTTACTGAAACAGAAAGGCGGTGACCAGACTGTGGATAATACTGATACCGATATCATGATGATGGACGAATGTCCGACACCACAACCCACCAAGCTAGGATTTTGTTTTTCACCTTTTATGAAAAGCTGATTATGTGAATTTTTTAAAAATTATGTACATGTACTTACTACAAATGAATTACACGACAATCAAAAATTTACATTTAAGTTATTTTGTTGAATTTATGTATGCTGCAAAATGTTGTCAACCTTTACTTATATGCAGATCTTTCTAGAAAATAAGAATAAACGCTAAATAAGATAAAAACAAAACTGAATTTTCATTTCATTGATAAATTTGTCATTAAATAATGCAATGACAAATACATATTGTGTGCCACAAATAATTATTTCCTTTATATAACGGAAATGACGATATTTCAAGGGAGAGAGAGAGAGAGAGAAAGGGGATATTGTTATTTTTAACCAAAAGGAAGTTTGTTTTTATAATTAAACACTCGTCAGTTCACCAGTAAGCAAACATTATTTACTTCATTCAAATGTAATTAACGGGTAATTATTTACGGGAAGGGTATTTGTGTGTGTGCGTGTCCATGTAGACTGAACTTGTCTGATCCCGAATTTCTTTTTGTTACAGTGGGACGTGTGAACGGTGCATTCTCATAAATAAAAAAAAATCAAATTTTTTTCCAAATAATATTGTAACCCATAAGAATGACTTGTATGACAATATTGCATTTGTGCATTTGTTTTTGCACGTGCATGATCGACGACATAAGTGTTGACCAAGACATACACTGTATATTACATGTAGTAGATCTAATATTCTTGCGCACTGTCACGTTGCAATGATGAGTGTAAGACAAATGAAGACATACATGTAAATCCCAATCATCTTAGTTGAATTGAATTGCATTTGAAAGTTTAAAAGAAACTGTTCATAATATTTTCATCAAAATTCATACATGTACAATAATAACTTCGTCATAATTTTCTATCCTTGATATTCCTTTATTAAAAGTTGTAATCAGTTTCTCACTAATATGTTTTTTTTTATTTATTCAATTTTTGCATGCCAAGATACAGTGTAAAACTAGTGCAGTGAAACCTGTCTAATCCGATATGCACTGGGAGAAATTTTGTGTCGGAATAGAGAGGGTGTCGGATTGCAGTGTAAAGAACATTGAAAATAGTAAAATAGGAATGAAATAAAGATCGGAATTCACAGGAATGAAATAAAGATCGGAATTCACATTGTGACGGATTGCACATGTGTCAGATTAGACAGTTGTCATTGTAATTTTCAATTTCAGTGTTTTTGATGATTCTTAAAACACAATGACGATAGAGAAAAACAACTTTTGATGATAAATACAATGTATATTGATCTGCTTCATCATTTGAAATAACTTTGAATCGATAATTTTTATTAACATCATAGCAATGCAATAAGGGATGAGTTACAATGTATATTTATCCTCTTTGGGAAAGTGACTGAACCCAGAGTGTGCTTTCTTAAGATCAAATTTAGCCTTATGATCCATTTGAAATAAGATATCATTGTAATAAAAAACGTTTTAAATACATGTAGTCAAAACCCACGGATGTACACTGAAAAGAAATATAGAATGCGCAGTAGAATATGAGGTCAATGTTTTCTTGACTGAGTCCCTACGTAAATTCTCTCTTTTTACTCCATCATTTCCGACATTCTCGTCTTCTAATATGCAGACATCATGAGGATAAAATTGCTACTTTCATACATCAAAAACGAAAACAGTGTAGTAAACTGAATACTAAATCGGTTCAATATCCATAATTCTTTCATCCATTTATAGCATTCTCAAAGCAGTTACGTACTTTGGTTATTTTTCCAAGACCTGAATTAAATGATGTCAGTAAATAAACTACTTAAATGAAAATTACAACTTTTGACCCACGTGGATAAGATTATTGCAAAAGCAAATACTGCGCTTTGAGGATTCACATAGATCTTTCTGGGAATCGAAGCAGGTGAACCGAATACGGGTGACTGATGTTCAAACACCACTCCCAATATTAACCTGTTTATAAAACAAAACAAAAAAAAGAAAGAAAGAAAAAAACACCTTGTATTTTGTAAGGTTGTTTATTAAAAAAAATTTGAATATCCTATTTATGTAACTTATCTTTTAAAACTAAATACATGAGGTCCATGTAATACTATACTCTCAGCAGAGTCGCATTACTGTTTTAATTTAACAATAAAAGAAATCACCTAGATCTGAAATGATTGTATTATGCACAAGTGAAATCCTGGTATCTTTTTTTATACAATTATTTTAATCAGTCTAATCGATACGATAGCTTACAACAATGTTGGCATCCATTTGATAAAACACTTTTTTTTTTATTAAACACTATACGTACAATGGAAGCTTTGTTTTACTATAACCAGGATTAACAAATCTGTATGTGTACTATAACAGGACTATGCTGATGATCAAACTAAAAGTCATAATCTTGTTATGGACGAGGAAATTAGTGGCAGCTTAGGTGGGGGGAGAGTTAAAAAAATCAGACATGTAAACTCTCTATAAATAAGAGTTAAACAGCCATGTATTATGAACCAACATAAATACCCCACAAATACCCCCATCACCACCACTTCCAATATTTGTGGAGAGAGAGAGAGAGAGAGAGAGAGGAGGGTGACCCATATAGAAACAAATGCCTATTTTCTAAAGATACTCCCTGCACTTGCTAGAATGAACATTCCGAAAGTTAATATTGCACATCTACAGGACACCATGCACATATTTCAAAGATAAATTGGAAAAGTACTGCTTGAAATGTAGGGAGTCAGTTTGAGAAAAAGTGTGACAGACGGTTGGACGGATCGAGATAACAATTAACGGTATACCCGAAGTTTCTTTGAGAATGCTTGCTGTGAGAAATTTAACAAAATCTAGCACTGTTGCTGTACAAACTCTTTCAAATAACACACACACACAGATATATATATATATATATATATATATATATATATATATATATATATATATATATATATATATATATATATATATATATATATATATATATATATATATATATATATATATATAAAATATCATATTACTTTGCCAACCTTTGGGTCTCTCTTTTTAACCCCCTCCCCTCCCGAGTCAATCTTGGGGTCATAATCAGAACTAAACTTAACTACTGCAGCGACGTCTTGTCGTCCATCAGTACATATTGACACCGGTGCTAATGGAAGTCACCCAAAACAATGGTACATGAGGTACAAAAAGGTGCCAGAAAATTAGAGTCTCCCTGGGTCAACACTACAAACACATATGTATAGGTGGAAATACAACTGTAATTCTATATGTCTTGGTAAGAACAAAGTTCAACAAACAACTGAAAATTTTCTTTTTAAATCTTTTTAAAACATGTGTATTTCAAACTGAAATTTTAAATTAATCATTGCTGGGAACATGATTGTTTATAAAGACATACAGCACGTGTACAGTAACTGTTCAAATCCTTCATTTGCGTGCATCCTCATGCTTCCATTGGGAGAGGCATACGAAACAAATCAACAATAAAAATCTCTGTAGTGCTATGATATATACATGGTAACAGATGATTTGGTATAGTCTTGGTCTTTGTTAATCACATTTAGAAAATTTTTCAGGTAACCAGCCTATTACCAAGTATCTATTACCGTGATGATTAAAGGAGTCATGTCACGTGTTTTTGCTGATGACTGAAATATTAGAGATTATGCAGAGAAAAGAAGATTTATCGCCATATGAAGTATTGTTTATCAAAGACCAGGATTTCATAGACAATCAATTAATGTGGGATAATAAAGGCTTTTCATCGACTCATAAGAAAATATTTATAGACATGTTTTGGAAGGATGCTGCTTTGAGGATTCATTATAAAGATGTACGCAATATGCCATGTTTCAAAAAACATTTCGTAGAAATCAATCATTCCATTTTAACTGTTGACGACGTTTCGAGAAATGTGTGCTAAAATAAAAACAATTAAGTGTGGACTTCTTTAAATCTTTATTAAAAGCATTACAGATAGGGTGATAAAATCTATGTTACACACAATTTTTGGCGTCTTCGTAAATTTGTCTTTTATCGTTTTTCATTGGAGCTCAAATGTATACATGTACATGTATATAGTTGTCAAGCACAGTTGATTGATTAGTGATTGCCAATTGATTTGGGAGAAAATACAGTATTACCAATGTTTAATCGCGTAAAAATTATTTGTCCCAAGCACAAGTTTTCTTCGCAGAATGTAAAATCCTTTCGACGGCCGAGGATTTTAAAGAGAATGTTCATCTGAAGAGTGGGGCGGGGGGGGGGGGGGATCCGAAAAAAAAAATCATTAGAAATATAAACCAATGTATCAATAAATAATCTGCATGAAGAAAACGTATATTTAATGTGCTACAAAATAAGCATCGGGATCTATCCTACAGTATCTAAAAGTCACGGCAAAGGGGTCACCTGAACTGGAGGTATGCGCGAAAGTTTTGTTTTTTGTTTTTGTTGTTGTTGTTGTTGTTGTTTGTTTGTTGTTGTTGTTGTTGTTTTTTGCAATTTTCTCTCCTTTCCTTCCCTCCCTTTTCTTTGTCACCTTTTATTAAGCTTTCTGAGAATCTATAAAGAACTGCGAACGATAACATGATAATATTGTTCTCCCACCTACCTCCAAGTCAATTTTCAAAAGTTAACATATTTGAATGACTTTTCATTTCTATATAGATATTTATAGGAATTTTCATAAAACATTACTTCTTTGGGGAAACAAAGAGAGATAACTCTATAATTTTGATAAAACTTGTGTTTTTCACTAGAGAAATCAACGGAAAACGGAAAATATTTTTAAAACATCCCCCCCCGCCCCCCCCCCCCCCCGTGGAACAAAAATTCCTTTTTATAGGTAATATGGACTGTCATTTCACAAATTCATACCAAAGCTTTTTGTGTTTCACGGAGGGGAACATATGTTTACAGACAAAAATCTACAAAAATGCTTATTTTTTCACCAATGTCAACGGGGTGTACAACTAAAACATTGTATTTTATTAATAATATACCTTTAATTTTATATGAGTAAAACATAAGAAAAGATTTAAGGAACATTTATTCATATTCAATAATATTTAAAATGTGGTGATGCTTTAAAGCCCGATTTCAATGAAAAATATCGTCCACCCCCCTTATTCAAAGAGGTGGAATTAGGGGGTAATTAACTATTTAACACTGGTATTAGAATTATCAGTCAATTACCATTGAACTGTTCTTTGCATTCAACAAAGATTTTATACGGCCAAATTGCCATTAGTAACTAATTAAATGGGTGTAAAATGTAGAGTTAGCGTGCGTAGTTCTTGGACAGAATAAAGACAGACTTTTGTAATTTAAACAACTGATAGAATACAACTTCTTCTTACGATCAATTCCAAAAATGTTACGATATCCTCCCCTAAGGCCCAGTGCGTGGGGTCAGAATCTCTATTTTTGACTTTTACGCATTTTTACGTTATTTAAGGCTGTGGAAAGGATATTAATTGAATGTTGATTCCCCCTAATCGAAATTATATCAAATTAAAAAAAAAACGATTTCTGTTTTCTAGGGTCGAATATAAAACGTAGGTAAAAATCCCATGAACATGCATGCTGTACATGTTATTTGATTGACATAATTTGAGTTTTACATACACATAAGTGAAACTTGAAAATTCTTTTAACTCTTTGTAAGTGAGAGTGAACGATAAGAGCACCTTTACAAAATTCCTTGATTTCTTGGTTCCATCCAGCCCCAATTATTTGATGTGATTTTATGGGTCAAGAAAATTGACTAATTGGCTCAGGAAGACCTGTATTTCTTATCGCCACCTTCCAGCCGTGATGACAAGAATTTGTGTCGCTCTCTTATTCGGTAAGAGCTTGTTGGAAAATATCGGTATTTACATCCTTATCTGTTTGGAACAGTGATTGATAGTAGTTTGTTTTTAATCTTATATTTTAGTATCGTGTTGCCTGTGTTCAACAATTAGGAAGCACGGTAAGAAAATCACTACATTTCAATTATTAACATGAATGAAAATGTTTTTCTTTTAAGAAGCATTTTTTTTCTCGAGTTCATTTTTGTTCAAAAAATATTTTGATCTTTTTTACACAGATGGATATCAGCGAGAACTAAGGGATGCTGTTTCAAGCGGTAAGTCTATCAGTCTTGGACACAGACAATTTAAGACAACATATACTGTAGGCACAGGTGCTTGTAGACAAGACTCCCATCCCCCCAGTATATACACTCCGGTCCCAGGGATTCTTTTAAAATTTGATTTGTTTCATAAATTATTCTTCTAGCATACACTTACAAAATGGTCATTATGGAAAACCAAAAAAAAAAATCACTTAGAGTAAACGTTTTATTAAATTCAAATCATACTTGTATATCGGAGTGTATTTGAGGGGGGAGTGGGTGGAGGGAATCCTGTCCACAAGTACCTGTGACTGCAAGTAGAATCATATCTCCTGCTGCACAGTCATTTTTTTCAAGAGAGAAGCACAATTTACAGTATATTGACACATATGAGACCTTGGAATACTGGTAATAGACATGATATTTATTAACTTATCATTAGAATTTCCTTGAACTCCATTCTCAGATCGTGTGTTATTAAGGTAAGTTACGGATTATTAATAGTACCGTTAGTACTTGTATTATTAATAGTATTCCAAGGGAACTGCGTGAGTTCTTATCCGTTTTTAAGAACTCGTATAACCTTAATCTACGTATTTTTTTTTAATTCTTCTCCTTATTTTTAGTTTGTTATTTTTGTTTTGTTTGTTTGCGGTGGGAGAGGGGACTATTCACTACTTTGAAATTTAAATCAATAGAAATTATTTAAGAAATATTATATTAAAAAGGTTGCCACAATGACGCAGACTGTGCCACCCATGTCTGTCCCTTGAATCAAGGCGCCAGCTGTCAACATTTTCATTGTATCTGTCAGCATTCGTCCGCACACGGAGGTAAAATAGAGAGAGAGAGAGTAGGGAGGAAGAGAGAGAGGATGGATGTTATATGGAAAGATACACTTGTGCATATCGCAGTTTCTTCGATGTTCGTATTATAATTATTAATCACATTCTGTGTTCAAACACTGTTCGAAAATCATTTTATGAATTTCACATAAGCACTTTATCCAAGCATTTTAAAACTATAATGGTAAATTTGAAATACAAAATGGTCCATTGACCACTATGCATGGTTTATTGCTTCAGTTTCAGTGAACCATACAAACCATGGTCATGGAGAACACGGACATACAACACAAACACCAACACAAAAATCCACAACTGGGACAACAATTCAACCCTCCACAACACAATTATCAACAACTCCTCCAACACGATCAACGATTTCAACATTACAACCAACTAAACAAACAGCTACAAAACAATCAACAACTGGGACGACAATCCAACCTTCCACCACTCAATCATCAACCACAGCACGACAGACAACAACGACACAACCAAAGAAAACATGGTCACCCTCCACCACCCAATCATCTACAACATTACCATCATCAACAAACTCTGTAACAAAGCCATTACCATCAAAACCCCTGCCTTCAACAACGCAACCATCAACGACAATACTACCATCTACAACTCAGGCTTCAACAACGTTAAAATCCTCAACAACAAAGGCAACGACACATATGCCAACTACATCACAACCTACATCAACAATGAAGTTGACAACAAAAAAACTAATTACAACTGCAACAACTCCCTCAACAACAGCGGCAACTACAACTAAACCTACAACAACAAAGGAGTTTACTACCAGACCGACGACAACAGAATCAGCCTTATCAACGTCAACAGCACTACCAACAACAACTGAAAGATCTGGTAATCTTTTAATAGCTATATAATATTTTTTAGTATATATATCATGTTACAAATTGCACAGAAAATCAGTTTGGGTAGATTTTATGCTTAACCTTTATTGTACTCAGAGAAAGAAAAAGAATACACTTCAATTACTATGCATTGTATATACTCAGAGAAAGAAAAAGAATACACTTCAATTACTATGCGTTGTATAGTGTGTGATTAAGTGGAAATAGTACCAAAAAATGCTTGGTGTTAAAATTCTAATTTTTTAAGAGATTTTTTTTTCATATTTCAGAATGTCCCTGTACATATTACAATACATTTATAACTCTGCCAGGAATCGGCACAATGCATTGTGCTAACCCCGACAGAAGGCGCTGTATTGATGGGAGCTGTTATTGCGTGGCAGATCCAGACGCTCCGTAGTGATTTAGTTAAATTCAATAAAGCAGCGTATTGTTCAAGTCTATAATAAACCATGCAATTTAGTTCATTTTTTTGTAAAGTTCTATTTTGTGGATTACATGCATAAAAAAATACCCAAATTGCAAACTTTAAGTCCCCTTGCTGTGGCGTATAGCTAAATCGCAATACAAAATTGCGGCAGGGGGTCCGATAAATATTGGTGGGAATGGACGCATGTGGACAAAGCCCTCTAGATCAAAACAATTTTTAAATTTATATAAATGCGATTGAAATATGTATAAATGAAATGAATTAGTCATCCTATCATATTTTAAAAATTTATAGGTCTGTAGAGTTTATACATGTATTGACGGCATTCTATAAGAGAAAATAAAAAAATGAATAAAACATAATCAAACAATGCATATTAAGTACTTAAATATCTTTAATATTCTCATTATATTCGGTAAATCGTGAATTTTTCAGTTTTCAGAATAAAAACTTTGATTCCAAAATAGGCGACTTCTACCTACAATATGTAACTTATTTTGAAACATTTTGGTCAAGTTCCTATACGCCCGTGAGACAGTAAGTTATATGAGATCTACAGTAATGGAAGCTATACACTGATGAACAATAATATTTATATGCAACTTTAAAAATGGAATAAATGAAATGAAATTAAGAAAGAAGGTCAAAAGTAGCCAAAAAAAAAAAAATGAATCGTGTGTTCCCCTGAAACTTATCAACAAATTTCCAAATTCTTCATAAATTGTTATTCTTTTTTTATTTTATTATTTTTTAAAGGTATTTACAAGGAAAGAAGAATGAAATGTTTATTTATGAGAAAATATTGCTCAAGTTAAATACATCCAACGCCTAATTAAGTCAAAATCCCAGGAAATCTCTGATATATACGTGTACAGCTATCTTCAGTTCATCGTCAACATAATCATCATCATCCTCTGCTTCATCTTCATTCATTTCGCAGTCCAATTCTTCCTCCTCATCACTAACATCAAAATCATCGTCATCATCCATTCTCTGGTTTTCATTACAATCTTTGCCGGTTTCACGTTCTGCGCCGGACTCAGGTTTGAGGTTTACTCATTTTAGGAAGCGCCGCCTCGTATTCTGTAGAGACGCATCGAGATCTCTGAAACAGAAATGGAATTGTACTTCGTTTTATGACAACAAAGACTTAATGTTATTCTGTTCTTGAGACCGAGAAATGTCTAGGCATGTTGAAAATGCAGTAATATATTATTTCATGCAGATCTCCTCTAATTAAAAATCTATTTAATTTAATTTGCTTCTAACCTCGAGGAATGAGAGGACAATCCAAACACAATCTCAATCTCACACTAAATTAATACCATCTGTAAATAAAAATATGTGGAATAAATATAAATTTTGTCGGTATTCCATTAGAAGCCATACAACCCCCCCCCCCCCACTTCTTTAATATAGTAATCGTAAAAAAATATTTATTCCATATTTTATCGCCATCGTCGCACAGAAGATTATGACGTCTGATAAAATGTAAGTACATGTATGCATATATAGGCTTTTTATGCACTTTTCAATCAAAGAATTTGAAAATTATATATATATATATATATATATATATATATATATATATATATATATATATATACATTTTCAACAGTTAAATATACTGTGTTTTATTTATTGAATAAAAGTGATATTCTCTCACAGTGTGAAAGGATACCAAAATGATATTCTCTCACAGTGTGAAAGGATATCAAAGTAAAAAATAATTTTTTTTGGTTTTGTTTGTTTGTTTGGTTTTGTTGTTGTTGTTGTTGTTGTTTTTTTTTTTTTTGTTTTTTGTATTTTGTAGCTTGTATCATCTGTCTAAATAAAAAAAAATTACGTAACGTCAAGAGGCGATGAATAAGAAGTGCATGAAAGACAACTTTTTAAAGACGTAATGAAAATATTGGAGTTATCGTCCTTGACTGAACTCTTCTTCATGGTCGTCTGCTTTAATGGGAACAAAAGATATTGGGAAAAGGTAGGTCCTATCTGATATTTCTTTTGTAAATCCTTGGAAAAAATACTCTTTATTCATGATAAGCATTGTTACTATGTCTAAGGACCACAGGGCACTACCATTGTTTAAAAAATATCTGAAGTCGTCCCTGGCATTAATATTCCATTCTCATCCCCCTCCTCTCATGATCCCAGGAGGGGGTGGGATGGGGGAGTTAAATGCTCTGTTGATCAAAATAAATATACTCAGGCGAGGATCCAGGAATTGAAGTCAGAGGTGGCGCAAAAAGTAGGCAGAGGTCGGGGCAGGGGCGAAGCCCCCGGAAGCTCCTGGATTCTAGAGATTTTGTAGGGTAAAAATGAGGTCTACCAAGTACGACATTTTTGCATTTTCTCGACGAAACTATATTTACGCTAACTTTGACATATGGGGGGGGGTGCGCCCCCCCCCCTTAAATCCACCACTGATAGATCTACTTGCATTTTAAAATTCGAGCAATTACCAATGACTATTCTCAATTTGGTTACTGTTGTCAGACTATATGCGGTAGGCCTACATAACCAATGTCATCAACGAATCACTCCACAGATCTTTCTCTCTCTCTCTCTCATTTTAAAGCTTGCCCTCACCTAAAATAATGTTTAAACACAGTTTAGTGTCTGGGTATGAGAGCAATTTATCTTTTCCTTGAGTACTTACCCTAGGAGGTCAGAAGTAGCAATAGTGAGCGACCAGCTCTAGTTTAGGTTGGGTGTGGGGGTTGCAATCAAAAGACTCACATTTCTACAGATTCTGACCCATACGCCAATCTCCAAATAATCTGGAGAGACCAGGGTGCGTCTAGGGAGGGATTGGTACCCCTTCTCCCAACCTTCTACTCACAAAAAACGTACTGTTTATTTTATATGCCCTTTTACATTGATTTTATAACTAGGCCTATATATAAAATGACCTTTAATACTTGTATGTTTCTGCAATAATGTTTTAACCAATAGTAGGCCTATATTAATAACATTATTATTATTATTGTTTATTATTTTTTTTTCTATGGGTTAAAAAATTATTACAGAAATAAATGCCTGTGATAATGACGCAAATAGGGTTTTGAAAATATTTTATATCTTGAATCATGCATTGACATTTTTTTCAGTTTCCTTTCTGACATGAATGGCATTGAAAGTGATGAGAGTGAAAAAGACGATGAATTCAATGACACTTCTACCCATGCAGCGTCACCAAAAAGGAGACGTAAAGTTGATGTAAACACTGAAAATACTGTATTGAACCTCTTAAAATATTGTCGCTTATTTTTAATCAATGAAATATGTGAATATTGTTTTGGAGCAGCTTTGCCTTCTATAAATTGCTTTGGACGTGGCAACTTATGAATCACATACAATAACAGAAAACATTATACATCATTTGTATTATTCATTTCACATCCTGGAGTAAGAACTATATGCAATATATAGAGGATATTCAATTATTCTGTAGATGAATATGGAATTTATTTCATGAGTTGAACAGGATTTTTTTTTTATATTTTCACGACTGAAAGTATTAAAAAAATCCTGTCCCTCTCGTGAAATAAATTCCATATTCATCTTCACAACATTGAATATCCATGAAATATATGGAGATAACGAACAGTATTCAAGCTCAAAAGTCCATTATACAATACAAAATAGGAGCAGAGCAAACACGGACCTCCAAACATCAGAGGTGGGATCAGGTGCCATGGAGGAGTGAGCATCCCCTGCCGACCGGTCACACCCGCTGTGTGCTCCTTGTCATGATCGGGAAATAATGGAAAAATCCGTCTACAATTCAGTGTGTAAATAATGGCCTAACAATTAGTATAAAAAACGTCAGTCAGCATTTGACTCAATGATAAATTGTATTTGCTGACAAGGTCATTGTATCGACCATAAAACTTACGAAATGACGACTTTAAACGAGACAGCTGATATTCTTGTTTCATCAACTTATTTGTCAATAATTTACCTCGTTTTAGAAATTGTACATACATAGAGCATGCTCTTGCGTATCGAATCAACTGAGAGATATATACCCCGTATGCAGGTGATGGAGGTATATTGCTGCATAAGTAAGGGAAGTTGACGATTGAAAAGTTAAAGTCATCACGTTTATCATAAAGCTTGGTTGTTAGATTACCATTAACGTCTTTTTCAAGTAAAATATCCAAATATGAAACAGATGTGTGAGACTCTGTGGTATCTTTTATCTCAAGTTCACCAGGATATATCGTATCGACATAAGAATGAAAATAGCCATTGTTAATTGACAATACGTCGTCGATATATCTAAATGTCGAGTTGAACGCCACAGCAAGTGTTTTCTTCTTTTCACGTACAAGATTTTGGACAAATTCTGCTTCATATGAATACAAAAAAAGGTCTGCTAATAACGGGGCGCAATTGGTACTCATAGAAATTCCAATAGATTGTTGGAAGACCTGGTCTCCAAAAAAACACATAGATATTGTCAATCAGAAACTCAAGCATCTTTTTAATGTAAACTTCAGTGTACTTGTGTGTACAATCAGAATGTTTTTTAACAAAATAATTTTGCAAATGACCAATGACAAGGTAAGTATATTTACGAGTTCCATTTTTATTGAAAAAGCAGCTGTCAATGATATCAAAAAGCCTGGACTTTAATTTATCGTGGGGAATGGTTGTGTATAAAGTTGAAAAGTCGTAAGTTTTTAAGCTGTTGATTTTGGTAAAATCTTGTGATTTCAAATTTTCCAAAAGTTCCTTGGAATTTTTAAGTATCCACATCTGATTTACACCACTTCTCGAATATATTGTTGCACAGTACTCTTGAAGTTTCTTCTTCACCACTGATAATATCTTTGTGAGGAGTAAAGATAGAGGCTTGGTTGAACATTTACTGGAACCCGCTATGTATCTTTGTTTGTAAGGATTTTTATGAAGTTTCGGAATCCAATATAAATATGGTAATTCGAATTCATTTTGGTTGTTTGGAATATTAAAAATATTCAAAACTGACATATGATTTTGAAGAATTTCTTCCTTAGAAAGGGAACTATGAGTATAAGTTGGATTACCACTTGTAGAATTAAATCCAAGTTCCTCTAAAATACATTTAATATAATGATCCTTACAAACAAAGACAATGTTGTTACCTGCTTTGTCAGCAGGGACCAGTACGTACTGATCATGTAATCTATCTAATTCTTTTTTCACTTCTGGATTATTGAATACAGAAGGATAGATGGTTTTCATATTGCCTCTCAATCTTTTAATGCGCGATTTTAACATACATCTGATACATTTAATCCATTCTGACAAAGTGTCAAGGTCTTCTTTTTCATGTCTGGCCCATCGCCTGGCGTAGTCCTCTACAGAATCCATAATATTTATGAAATTCTTACGCCAGTTGAAGGATCTGGGTTCCCTAAATTTAGGACCTTTTAAAATTAGTGATCTAAGATCCTCATTATTAACTATATTTACGTCACCAGTAATAACGTGTCCAGCAGGACTATAGTTATAGGGCGAAGAAGAACATGAACACGATGGAGGATTATGTTTCAGATATTCGATATCCAGGCCCTGTAAAGTTTTCTTGTAATTAAAAAGTTTGGAAGCAATAGTCGACGTATATTTATAGGAAATACAAGGTGTAGTCTTTAACTTGAAATATGGTGGAATACAAGACTGGACCCTTTTGTGATTAAGGATATTACTTATATTAACCGCGTCAATTCCTTTGTTGGCATATTGAAGTTTAAGGAAAAAACGAATTGTTTTAGCTGCATTTTCTTCAGTAAAACGCGGGGGTTTAAAAAGCCTTTATATCCTCTATATACTAGTAATCCGATAATCGAATTATGAAAAAAAAAAAATCCGATTGCCCATCACTACTAGAAACGCATCTAACTCCAGGATGTGAAATGAAAAATACAAATTATGTATAATGTCTTCTGTTATTGTATGTGATTCATAAATTGCCACGTCCAAAGCAGAGCTGGTTAAAACTTGTTACCCTTAATGCCAATGAATTTTAGTAAACCAACAAGCATTTCATCCCATAAAAGTTATGATAAAAATAAGTTTACTTGTAAACTGAGATACCGTGAAAGATATTGGACACAAGGTTGTGAAATTGTTTAAAACGAACTCGAACTGGTAAAAAATAGCGCCATGTAACAGGATAAAAGTCTGTCATATGAAGAGCTTTCTTAAACACATACAGGGCAGTTTTCATTTTTACGCGATGTTTATAAGATGTTATTTAAGTTTTGCAATTGATTGAGGAATTTTTTTTCAGAATGAAGGTTTTGTGAGACCAACAACACCGGATATTCCGAAAACATCTCCTTACTATCAATACCACACCATCAACAGCGCTTATACCATGTCAGGTGTTGGTATGGTTTTGGTTTTCATGCTTTTTGGGATTTTGTAGGATTGGGCGTTTATTTGTTTTTATTTCTATTTGGAGAATTTCATGGTTTTTATTATTTCAGAATCAGATGAATCATTTGACCAGAATTTCACGTCGTCTTTTAATTTTGACGAGAATGCATCCAGTAGAAGTGACTTCCAAGTCTTAGACTCGAATGAATCATATGAAGTCCCACAGCTTTCCGAGACTCCAAAGGACCAATCGTATGAAGTGTCGCAAACTGCCGATGACCAATCATATGCAGAGTCTCAGTTTTCTCAGTCTTTTAATGACCAATTAAATACCGCCTCTCAACAGTCTCAGTCAATAGATACATTATCCACAGACACATCCACAACAACAGAAGATGTCGATACCAACGAAGATTCTCAGAGTTCATCTCAAAACATTTATGACGACATGAATATTGCTGACATCATTACAGGTATGCTGACATCTTTACCATAAGTTTATAGATGATAAAAAACAAAAATTCCACATTCTGTATTCACAGTTTTCGTAATTTGATTTTGTTTAATTTTTTTAGATATGAAGGAAAAGACTGCAAAAGTGTATATGCACTGGATGGAACTTTTTCGGTAATAATCTCTAACTATGACTTTTTCATCCCTATTTCTTTGATTCCAAATGTATTATTAATACAGAATACAATGTATCTTTCACTTGTTGCAGTGATGGCGAAAAATTTGAGGAGGAAGTCCCATCTCTCATTGATGATTTACTAAATCAAGCTAAACAAATGGAACAACACCTTATTGAACAGAAAGAATCGCTTCGTCAGAGAATTTATGGAATCACACGAACTCTAAGAATTGACAATCTTTGATGCCATTGATAATCAATTATTGGAAGCAAATTCTGTATACAGATGTGGTATGTGATCGCATTTTAGATGATTCCAGATGGGAGTTTGGACAGATTGCTTACTTTTGTGTTTACAATAAAATGTATGAATATACATGTATAAATATTTATTTCAAAAAGGACTATTGTGTCAATGCGATGTTACACAGATTCAAAAATAATGTTTCATCAAGCTTATATATCCTAGAACTCGGTTCTATACCATAATTACTTGTATAGCTCTTGTATTCAAAAATCACTGTAAAGTTGTACTTTATAACAATTCATATCATAAGACATTGCTGCAAAACTTTCCTCTCTGTTCATTATTAAGTTTCATACATGTATGTCTTTTTATTTCATTGAGCTTCTTTTGCGATTTAATTTGTTTATTTGCTTCGTTGCTGATGTGAAAATGAGATACGCTACCGTTTTAAGACTATAAAAAAACAAATTAGACGGAAAAAATGTAAAGATAACATAATTTTAAATGGGTGCTGTTCATTCTTTGAAAAGATATATATGTCAAAATATGGAAAGCAAGTTTGATGGCGGTATAAGAAAAGAGGATTGCCATGTCGTCGAGTGCATAAAAAGAGGTTTTTCAATAAAATACACTTGAATTTCACCTGTGGTTCTTTATAAAAAGAACTTCTGGTTTAGAAATTAAGCACTAAGATATTTCTTAGTACTAGTGGTACTACTAAGAATACATTTCGTAATGAACCTCGAAATCGAGTCGATTTCAAATGCTCGCCTCATCAGCTTTTTCATTGAACGATCGAAAATTCCAAAAATTTTTCAAAGGCGAAAATCCCGAGAGTGCATAATACCAAGCCTCAGCAACAAATATCATGCTGCTCTTGGAATTCCTTAAAATCTCTAAAACACAAAAAAGTAAACTGTCCAGTCTCGAAAATCCTATGATATTTTCCCGAGTTCGACCGAGTACCCCCCCCCCCCCCCCGCCGGTACCTATTGAATATTACATTATTGCCATTTTTAATTAGATCAGACATTTTATTCCGATAAAAAGTTGCACTTTCAACATCGAACCGGCATGCGCTATAATTATTTCCTTTAACTTGTTGCATTTATGTTGATCATGTGACTCATGCTAGTTTGTGACAGTTCAGTTAATCATCAAAATAATTTTCTTCCTTAAATAGTTTCTAAGATGTTTTCATGTTAAATAGTTCCTACGTTGATTATTATGCAGTATATAAATATTAAGTTCTACTCTTTCAAAAAAGAGATCATTGCCTACATAAACTAAATTGAATTTTGGGAAAAAATGCAATTGACATAATTTTTAGAAGTGTAGAAAATAACGATCATGTACTTGTAACTAAAAAATTTCTGAATTGTACCTATATTATGTATATTTTAGTAAGATATATAAATGTACTTATTCTAGTAGTATTTACTTATGAGGAAAGAGAACTTTTCGATATACATTTTCTTTCACATTAATTAATTTCATAAAAATGATCAGGTATATCCAATTTTTGTTGCATCTTCGATTAAGAAATTTCTATATCAATCTAATTAAAATTAGATGTTCCGAATCCGCTACCGCTTCTAATTTTAGTTAGATTGTTTCTATATCTTTTTAAAACGAGAAAAACACCCTTGGAACCCTCAGTTAGTATTTCTTTAACATAATAAACACTACAAAATTCATGATGAATTTGACAATAAAGGGATTTCACAAAGAAAGGAAAGTTTTAAACTGTTGTCCTTTACATAATATGAATAATCTCGTTCAGGTACCCACTGCCATTTTCCATTTCTGTTCGTCAATACTATATGCACAGTTCTCTCACGTACTTTTGTGACTGTTTCACGTGCCCAGTTAGTGTAAGTTATATCTGAATTGTCACTGTTCCACCATTTATTGTGTAGATAGTATATACTTCCCACACGAATATTCCATGATCCAATTGGAAAGTCTTTTTCTAAAATAATATTTTGAAACAAGAATAACATTTAATGGTTGAAATTAAACAAGCTAATCTTACCTCGTATATAAGTTAAACTGTACATTGCATTAAAAAAAATTAATGGCAATATTTTATACTAATGTTCTGAGACATAATGTTATATCATGATCACGATTGATAACAGTTTTTGGTGCCCTTACCAGGATTATTCCTCTTAATACCCAGCCATTCCCCGTATGCAGTCCCATACCATACCAACAATTCGCTGTTGGTTTTCAATTCTTTGGTTGTGAAATAAAATTTCTTTGAGTCACAGTTGAATGTGTCTATGTTTTCTTCAAATGTATTTCTCGCACAGTTAATGTATCGTAGCCAGTTGCTGATACTTTCATTCTTGCCGTCTATGTATAGGGTGCGATGACCTGACCCTACCTGAGATAAATAATCGTTACTATTGAAATTATTAAGTATTTGAGTCACATTAACATTTAATTTTTTATCAGGAACCAAATGTGGTTGCATTGACATTAAATAAAGTCTCAGTTATTTCTTTTCGTGGGCGTTTTTAATTTACCTGTATCATGATAAAAATGTTACCATAAAAGTATAATGTTTTCTTTTTAAAATTCATTCAAGGGAATCGATAGTTCTTTAAATTGTCCTTTCAGCATTTTTTTTTTCATTCATAGAAATTAGATTGAATTCTTATTTTTCAACTTACAAAACTTCATTGAAAAATGTGCACCTCTTACTTGCCAGGTATAAGTGAAATCTGTTGTATAGTCTACAAGATCTCCCTCATATTCACCAAGAATTGTGTGTTTGGGAACAGGGATGTCGGACCATACCCCCAAACTTGCACGTGGAATGAGAGATTGACGAACGGAGAAACCATGGGGAGTTGTCAATAAACCTCTTTTCGGGGAGCCCTTGGGAACCTTTAATATATTTAAATAACAGGCACTTTCATCATATCATAAGCATAATTACTATTACAATTAATTGTATACCAAAAATACTATTATGTTTAAGCAGAATATAATGGAAGAATTACCTGATTTTGATTCAAAACATTAATTTTGCTCTGATTTAAGCTTCCCTGGATATATGCTTCACAAACTATAAAAGATAAATATGTCTTGAATAATTCCTATAAAAATAAGCAAGAGAAGTGTGTCACAGGACAGTTTTATCGAACTCAGAGCCATAACTTTGAAGTAGTGAATATGTATAGGAATAATTTATTGTTCGTTTGGTTCTTTTCTTTAGCATGAATTAAGCTTTGACGACACGTTCCTCAACAATATATAAATTTTCCCAACACTCTGTCATTTAAGTACGCTACTTTAACAAGTTTCCTCACAAAAAAATTGAGGTACCTTACCAGGCATTTGTGCAAGATACCAGAGAACGGTGTTTCCTGTATAATCCTATTAAAAATCACTTCAATTGTCAATATCACAATTTTTGTTGTATTTATTTTCTAAGACATTTTGAAAACAGTTTAGAAATCACAAGATAATGTCATATTTTGAATATTTCTTATATATTAAAGGAGAAACAAAACAGATATTTGAGTAACGTGTGATCGGACCTAAATAAAAAATACTTAAAATCAGTGAGGTTCATTGATTTTCATTTAAGAAATGAAATAAATTAATATAAGACCCCCCCCCCCCTTCGAAAGTCAGGAGAACGTTTCTGACGACCTATTCATTTTTATCCTTATGGCTGTTTCAACATTTTATACGAGATCAAGCTAAAAAAAACGATAAGCGAGATCGGTGAGGGTAAAGCTGCCAAATTAAAAAAAAGAAGGTCTGGCAAAACTAGGCATGGACAACACATTAAATGATTAGTTACCTTGGGGCCCTTGTGACCTCGGAGTCTGGCGATACATATTTAAAAATAAACGTCAAGACATGACATTAGACAATATTGGTTCCTTGGGGACCTTTAGACAATTGGATAATGGTTATATAAAAGTTTTTAAAAAATCAGTAGGATATGGAATAAACCAATTGATTCTTTGGAGAAACACATATAAAAATACATAGTACTCACAAGGACATGGAACAATAATGAGTTGGTTTTTTTTTTTAATTTAATGTTGAGCGGAGCTAAAACAGTCAACTGTAAAATGGAAAAGACGGGGAATAAACCTGGTTTTATAAGGATGTATTTATATTACACAAAAGAACTTACATTCTTTTCGCAGACTTTCTTTTTCTGTGTCGAGATTCTCTTCCTAAAACGAAAAGGATATTGATGACACATCTACTTGAAATATTTTTGCTCCACTTGTAATAAAAGTCTTTGTTCATATTGACTGTATACGTTTGCTTTGCTTACCTTAAAACTAACGCCGGCATCGTTTGCAAGCGTGCCCTTGTTTCCTGAAATAAGAAATGTGCTTTGAACATAAAGATTCTGAGGATTTTACATAGAGATACATGCATTGCATTTAGTAGTAATTTAAAACTTTATATAAATTTACATAAATCTATATTCAAATTTTCGTTCAGTGGGCATAGCGAGGTCTCCTAAGAATTTTTCTTGTATTTTTAAAAACTTGAAAATCGTCCAAAAATCATATGTTCAGCTAGAGAACGTTGGAATTATGACTGGTTGTTTGCACATCCATAGAATACACAAGTTTGGTATGTGTAACACATATTTACTTGAAACTCAAACTGCTTAAGATGATTTTCATACAGGCACCATCTGAATCATATGAGATGGCACGCCTACCTTTTGGTCATATAGTTTTTACGTATATGTGGGAATTGAACTGCTCTAAAAACTATTTTGCGCATTTAGAGAATTGATATCACTTTTGTAGGAGAAAGAAGAGTAAAAAGAATTCCTTTAACAAAATGAAAAAACGCGTAGAAGGCTACTGATTCAATTTTTAAATTCAAAAAAGATGAAGATAACGAACAGTGATCGATCTCAAAATTCTTAAAAACATGCAATACGAATTTTTGAACAGGGCATAAATCACTGACCCCTGGAAACTCCTTAGATGGATTAAGTGGCTAGGAGGAGTAAGCATCCTTTGTCAACCGGTCACAGTCGCTTTGAGCCCTATGTATTGATAAGGTAGACAGACTAATTAATTATAATAACAATGACCTAACGATACGAAGTAGGTAACATGTCAGTCAAAATACGAAACAATGACAGGTATTCGCAAATAAGGCCATTATGACGACCATAAAAATTCCGAAATGCTGACTTTAAACGAGGTTGCTGAAATCTCTGTAACATCAACTTATTTGTCAGTAGTCGGTTTAAAAAATGATCGTAGTCAGAGCAAGCTACTAAAGTTTTTTTGCAATGCTTTTCACATAATTTACAGGGAATATCTTCATACTAAGCAATCTTTTTTAGTAAAATTTTTATCGCTAGAAATTGTATGGCAAATTGGAAGTACAACACATTAATTTATTGAAAATCCATATACAACTGTACATCAAATTAAATGCAAGCAATACTTTGCTTAACAGAAAAGGACATATATCAGCAAAGTACCTCTGGATAAACATTTTTTTTTTGCATTTTAATCCCTATATATGGTTTTCAAATAACTAGACTTGAGATATTTTTAAATCTTTTCGTTTAATACATACTTTTTTAACATGTTAACTGATTTCATTGTATATAGCGGTTCATATAGTACCATGATTTGGTTGCTGACTAAATTTTTACTTAGTTTGCAAAGAAACACTCTCAGTGTAACTGAGCGAGGCTACAGTAAATTGTCACTTTTGCCGACTTGTTTGTTAAATTTATTCTGTGTGTTTGATTTTAATCAAATATAGTAATATACAGCAGTATGTTGCAGTAAGTTTCTAGTTTTACCGTTTTGGTATTCTTTGCATGAGAAAACAGCCCCTATTGGTTTCCTTTGATGAAACTTTTTTAGTTTCCAAAAACTTATAATACATCTATACAAGACATGATTAATCATAAGTAAGAACAAATGGATTGCAACAAACAGCAACAATAAACCCCAACTTAATTCATTCAGAAAATGTAGTAATAATCACATTGTTAGACCTACTTAATAAATACTGGGTTATAACGTTTTCTTCCTGTATTGAATTCAGAACGGCCAAATAGCCTCCTTCTCGTCGACAGACTGACGTCGCTGTATCACGTGACAACTTTTCTGCATGAAAGACATAGCAATGGTGGTTCCATTCCAAAGAGTGTTCCTTGCATCTCATTGTAAGACGTGGAGTGGCTATTATGCATAAAACAAACAATCAAATTCCTTTTTGTAGCCGAAGAAGCAATTTTTAAAAATAAGTACATGTATTATGTATGAAGGCCTCCAAAAACTAAGTACTTCTAGATAAATAAAGGTACCTCAATGAGACTTTGCAATAAAATATTTTCAATAATTAAGTGACTTACCATTGGTCATTAAAAAAGATAGAATAAACTTAATATGAATCTTTCTCCACTTGGCAATCATAACGGATATTATGTTTCTCCTAAAATAAAAAAAAAATTGTCTTTGTGCTGTATTATATAACTTTATTATTATATTATATTATATTATATTATATTATATTATATTATATTATATTATATTATATTATATTATATTATATTATATTATATTACTGTATTATTGATGGTGAGAAAAAACAAAACTTGTGTGAGGGAGATTATTATTTTTTTAATTGTTTATGAAATGACACTGTCCTTCATGGGTTTTTTTAAGGTCTTTCGTCTTCACGGAAGACCTTATAGTGATTCTACTGTTTCTTATTATTATTATTTTTCCGCCCACTTAATATTTTGCACGCGATTTCTCGGAGACTACTGGGTGGATTTTCATGAAATTTACGGAAACAATGTGTTGTTATCTGAAGTTATTTTATCCGAGAGATTTTTTGGAAATTCGCTTCCGGTGCCAAGTTACGAACCATTTTCTGAAATTAAAATAACATTTTGTCCACGGATAATCTCAAGAACGGTAACAGATATCAACGTGAAACTTTCAGGGATTATAGATCGTGATAAGTACTATCCAGGACGCGACCTTTCGTTCGTTGTCAGGACTTCCTGTCGTTACCATATGCGAATTTAAACAGTCGAATTTTCTAACTTTTTTGTTTTCTAAAATTTTTCTGTTTTTTTTTTTTTTTGGAATGTTAATAGAGACCTTTCTTATAATGCTTACTATTTAATTTTTTTAAATATTGATAATCTAAACTCGAGATATTAACATTTGAAAATCTGAAGCGGGTCCAAAATGGCGGCTGTCTCAATCAACTCCGACATTTCGCGAGTAGGGGGTTAAAGAGGCAGCTGAGCGTTTGCTTGAACGAAAGTTACATAAGGATAAATGAAATGTAAATGGATGCTTTGATTGTCACGTAGTATTTACGTTGCATTTCTAAGTCAAACTAAAATTGGTTTTGGCTGGTTCTCAAAGTAGAAAAAGAAAAGACTAAATGTGTAAATGAAATAAGATAGTATACCTACTACCTTTTGTTTTGCACCACGGAAAAACAGATCTTAAATCATAGTTATAAGTAAAGTTAAAGAATACATGGATTGTCACGTCGTAGTTACGTTGCAATTCTGTGTCAAATTCAGTTTTAAGCCAATGTGTTCTCAAACGTCATCTATAACTGGTTTTGGCCGGTTCGCAAAGTAAAAAAGAGAAGACTACATGTACAAATGAAATACGATATCTACAACCTTTTGTTTTGCATAATAGAAAAAACAGATATTAAATCATGGTTATAAGTAATAGTTTTTCAAGAGACAATATATATAGTAAGTGTAAGACGTGACCTCTGTTTTCCCATGCGCACTTGTGTCATATTAAACTAATAGAAAAGACAAAGGTAAGAAAACCGTACTTTAAAAGATCGCTTAATGAATTTTATAGAAACATTTTTTTTCTCAAAGATCTGATGCAAGTTATTGAACATAAATGGTGTCTGATTCCTTGACCGTCGTAAAGCGATGTTTGTTTTTTGGCGAAGCATTCCAACACTTTCATGAAAGAGTAACTAATTGGAACGTTTTTTTTTATTAATTTCATTCAAGCTTTTACACCTTTTTAATAGAACATTCCAAAGAAAAGGCGCGAAGATTAACTCGTGGCGTTTGGCGCCAAATTGTGAATGGTGACCCGCCTTTCTTAATTCTAAGACAGATGCACTATTGCAGAAGTATATACAAGTAGATTTAGAGCAGTTGTCCCAATAGCGTAGTATTTAGCGCGTTGGATTTTCATGCTGGCGACTTGAGTTCAATCCCCCTTGTGTCCAATTATTTTTTTACTTTTTTCAGCTCGATTTTACGTTGTTTTTTTTTTTTTTAGAATCGGATGGAAGACCTCTCGTTGCTCGCAACGAGATTGTATCTAGTTTTGTATTTATATTTGTAAATATGATGTCAACAAAATAATTTCACCTTTCCTAGAATCATCTTTCATTGGCGTTTTGCGTGGGGTTCATATTCAAGGTAAATTGGAGATATACATCATTTTTCAAAATACGCTCGACTTATTAACGTTGTCATTAAATCTTTATTTCAAATAACAATCTGTCTAAATTGATAGGAGTGGGAATTGATGAATTGTTCATTGTTAATTTGATTAACATGTGCCGGAAATATCAGCATATACTTGTTACATATAATTACGTGATTCAAGATATAAAAATCGATACAGCCTTTTTTTTCTTGTTGAGAAAACTCTGTTGTCAATTAAAATCAAAAAACGTGTCTTTGATAAAGGTTTCAGGAAAATCCTCACCATTTTTGTTTTGTTTTTGATTTGTTTGTTGTTGTTTTCTTACAGAGTTTTTGAAAGTCACTGGTGCTCGTGTTATTAAAAAAGTCGTGGTTTGTCAATGATTATAGACACGTACTAAAATAGATATATTCTATTTTAGAATGAATTGCCATATTTAGACCCTAAATCATACCAGGCAAACAACTAAGAACATTCATTATGAAAGAAACATTGATGAAATATGACTATCACTGTTACATCAAAAAGCGTATTTTAATTAGATTCTAAATCTGAAGACAAAGATAATCTGTTACTTAATTTTTAGCTCACCTGAGCCAAAGGCTCAAATGAGCTATTCTGATAGAAATTTGTGCGTTTTCTGTCGTTGTTTAGTCGTCGTCGTCGTTGTTGTCATCTTCGTCCTAAATTTTTCACAATTTCATCTTGTTCTTCAGAACCACTGTGCAAATTTCAACCAAACTTGGCATAGAGTATTCTTGGTTCAAATGAATGACTATGTCCCCTTCAAAGGGGAGATAATCAAGTAAAAAAGCAATGGACCAGGAAAGACGAAAATTATTTGAGAGCTTCCTGGTATAGAGTAGATTCAATATTTGTTCAAAACTTGGCCAAAGAGATAGAGTGGGACTAAAGTTTACCATGGGAATCAATAGGGCAAATAATTTTTTAAAGAACAGCAGGGCCATGACAAGTCATATTAATTTGCAAAAATCCTTAGAAAGTAAAAATGCTCGAGATATACCGGTATTTAAACCATGGCCACTTAGGGTAGCATGAGGCGACGATTGGTGATCAAAGTATTACGCAGGAATATACCCAGTTAAGAACGTATCTTTGAAATTCTTCTTCTAAAGAACAGCGGGCCCGTAGTAAATAGTTATACTATTGTATGCAAGCATCCTCAGGTAGTAGATATACATGTATATGTGTTCAAATCATGGGCCATCTGGGGTATGGGTTGGGCAACAATATTAAGAGAACAAAGATTGACATGGTAATATATAGGAAAATACACGTATCTTTAAAAGTCAGCAGGATCATGATTAGACATACAAATATGCAAGCATCCTCAGGTAGATTTGATGGTCATAGGGTTATGGTGGGGCTACAACAGGGGGATAAGAGTTTTGAATATATGGGAAATTTATATTAAAAAATATGTTTTCAAAAGGAGGACTTCAATAAATAGTACAATATGCAAACATTCTTATGTTGTGTGAACACATTTTTTTTTCTTCAAATTTTGAGACTCGGGGTTAGGGTGGGGCAAAATTGAGAATCAAATTTTTACATAATGCACGTTTATAGGAAAAATTCTTTAAAAAATCTTCTTCTCTTTAACAGCAATTAACCCCATGTTAGTCTTACTCATATTGAAGCAGCTCGATTGTTGTATAGATTCGAGTACACTTAATTCATAACCTCTTGGGTCTAGGTTGGGGCCACATTATGGGATCAAAATTTTGCATGCGGGTAAATTTACGAGTAAAAAAAAAATCTTTCGAAGAAAGCAGGTCCAAGGTGAGCATTGTGGCCCATAGGCCTCTTGTAAGAAATGCATAAGACGTTGTGGAGGGATATGATAGTTTTCAATTTTAAGAAAATGAAAGAAAAAAGTAAGCCAATGAGTATGCTTAGAAACGTACCGTCAGAGAGAAAATAATATTCTAGTACTTCTTTAGTAAGGGGGGGAAAAAACTTTTCTTTAAGATGGAAATATTTTCTTGGCTGCAAAGAACCGCCATACTATTCATAGAAGTAATTATTTTGTTCAAGAAAAGTTTATACAGAAAAATGCAAATTATTGCTGGCTTACTTCAAACATAATAAGCGGTTCATTGATTGTTAAAAAATGAACATTACTACTATAGGTAAAAAAAAAAATGCCTATCTAAAGAAGAATTTTAATTTAATGAGTAATCTTGAAGATATGTTTGAAATTTAGTGGCTCACAGTAATTGTTTTTTTTAAAATATACATGTAATATTGGCATGTTGTTAGTGCATGTATCTTCATTTTATCGAGTATATTGAGTAAAACCTTTTGGGGCTAAATCAAAATACATGTAATGAGAAAACTACCTATCTAATTTTTACATAGTCTATGCTTTTTGGATTTTTTTTTTTTTTAACTAAAAAATATATATTTTTTCTTGACTTCTTCTTTTTCTTTAAACCAAAAGAAATATCCTTATTTAATGTAAATGTAGATCAATAATGATACTTCAAAAATTAGCTCATTTTTTAGAAAATAAAACATTTTATTGAGTTGAAATTAATGTAATACATGTATTGAAATATTTATTAGTAAAAATCAATGTTTTCGTCATAGAAAAGACATTTCAACAAATTCTGTAATTCATCACCTATTTTTTCCATGTTACACCAAAAAAAATCACACATTTCTTTCAGTCAAACCGTACCCCCCCCCCCCCCCCACCACCACCACCACCACAACCACCACCACCAAAAATATTTTTTTTTTTAAAAATCACTAGATTCAAAAGCCAAACCTATTTCATCTGTAAAAAATTAAATTGTGATGTACTAAGTCTTGAAAATCTAATTACCCTAAGCTCTGTTTTATTATTTCTTTTTTCACTAATGTTATATTTTGCCCTTCATAACCGATATTGCATATCATAGGCGGATCCAACATGCTATATTTAATGTCACCTAAAATTAAGAAATACAAAA